CGAAATGAATGTAAAATTCTTTAAAAATCACGATCTTTTCTCGCTGAGGAAATCATTTTGCTCCGAAATTTGAAAATGCAATAATTGAATAGCATACGATTATCCAATTGCATCAAGAGTTTATTGTAATTGATCACCGTGATAAATCCGATTGCGTTTGATCGAAGACTAAATCGAGTTTGAGATGTGTATTGCGTAAGCTAAATAATACATAAGCTATATAAATTGGATGGAAGCTATACAACGTAGCTAAAAACTACGAATATGTGTGTGAGTGTGTGCGTGTAAGTCGGACAATCGGTTAGTTATAATAGAATCATCATTAAATACAAGAAGAACCGTTCATGGCTTAGTGCCCATCGCTTGCTATATTTCTTTCATTTCAAAAATGTATAAAGTGTATTTTGTTCATACGTCCTCAGCAGGGGTCCGAGGGGTCCGATTACCCCCCCCCCTGACGAAGTGTTACCCCTTCAAAATTTTCAAAGAATTCTTTAAATTTGCTAGGGAATTTCGCCAAAAAAGTGAGGACCTTTTTTTTTTTTTTTGCTCCTCACTTTTGTTTTCAACGTAGGAAAAATTCTTTAAATTTGCTAGGGATTTTCGCCCAAAAAGTGAGGAGCAAAAAAAAAAAAAAAAAAAAAACGAAAAAGGTACACTTTTCGCAAAATACACTTCACTTTTTTGCTTACCCCTCTCGATTTTTTTCAATTACCCCCCCCTTAAATTTTTTCCTTGAGGACGTATGATTTTGTTTCTGTTGCCTTCAATAAAAAATGGTAACGCACAACGTCAATTACAATAAAAATTATGAATAAAACACTTCATTTCTTTTTTCTACAAAAAAAAAATTACTGCATAAATATAGGAAAATAGAAAGAAAATCTTCGATAAAATCAAAGAATTCACTGAACATAAATTTTGAACTTAAAACATTTTTGTTTGCTTCAACTTTTGTTTCCTGTAATAATGTTAAATTGGATGTGAATACAAAAGTAAGCACGAAATTGTATACAATTTACTGACGACGTGAGCAACATTATAAACAAAATTTGTAAAATTTGTTATTATTGAAATTTTTTTTTCATTTCACAAATAATCCGCCTATATTCTATGTCGAGCTATTTTCAAAAGGATATACTATATACGTTAGACTCATTTATTTTGCTCTTATTTTACTCATTAAATTGTTGTTGCTGTTTTTTTTTTGTTATGTGTTTGTTTGTTTTTGTGTGTCTTCTTCTATGTGTTTGTGTTGCCAAAATGTGTTTACTAAAAGGGCCGTTTTACATTCAAATTCGTATCTACAGCAAATGCTATGTTGTATGCTCTCTAAAAGTTTGTTGTTTTTCACAATTTTTTCTACGCACTAACTCATCATATTTCTGACTCACTTGTATCAATTACACTAAAAAATTTAATTAGAGTTCACTGATAATAGATCGCAATTTTGTTTACATAGACCCCCAATATACTCGAATTTCAGTTGGACGAATACTTACTTTTTGCGACACGCGTGATGGTTAATTAAAAAAATTCTTTTATTCTGTTTTCATGAATCTATTCCGAAAATTGTCACATGAAATATAACAAAAATAAACCGCACAAAAGTCGGAATGAAAAAGCCTGTCAGTCTGTTTTCTTGAGCAAATGTTGTAGATTTTGTCCTAAGTCATGAATTTCCGATCAAATTCTTGGAATTTAATTCAAATCCATGACTATTGGTTATTCGAACTTTTTCGACGGTAAAAAAATATTATACAACACATTTTAAATACAAAGCTAAAGTTTAAAAAAAATGAAGAAGTATGAGCAATGATAAAAAAATCGAATTGGATAATATTTTTTTGCTAAACAGTTGTTAAATATATACTATTTTACTACTGATAATGTTAAACCAAAATGTATGGATGTGCGTGCGTGTGTTCTTTGGTAATTATCGGCCACCATGGCCATTTGTTTGGTTGTTTGTATTTGTTGACCATGCTCTTCGTATGCGCCGAATCAAGCGCACCTGATCGTTTTGTCGATTTACACCAGACGTTTGTTGGTTACGTGACTGTGACGATGCCACAGCACAACGATACAATTCACCCAATGTTGGATTGCCAATACGTAGAAACTGCCAACTTGTATTCGATGCATTTGTTTGCTGCTGTTGCTGCAAAGATAATGGTCTTTCAATAATACGGGAAACATTTTGTGGAATCGTACGATTTGATCGATTTATATTGTTGTTGTTATTTTGTACATCTCGCAGTCGACGAAGCATTGCAATGCTTGGTGAACGATTTTGATCACTCGTTGTATTTGAAGCGGTAGAAGATGATGTTATTGTTGCTGCGCTTAATCTTGTCGGAATATTTCGATTCGAACGAAACAGGTGCTGCAAACGAGTTATATCGTTGGCGTTCAGGTGACGTGCATCACTTGCAACATGTTGCACCGATATTCCACGTTGCGATATATCATTCAACAATTTATCAGAAGATCTTCGTCGTTTCCGCGATACGGGTATCGATGGTGGGTTTGATGTTGTCATTGTTGGTACGACCTGATCACTTGCAGTTTGAGTCTGTGGAATGAGTGAAAAATATAATAAGATTCATTCATGGTTTAAAAGTTGGATTGAGTAAAAATGCAATTTACATTTCTCCATTTGACTTTGTGGGATGTTTCTGGTGGCGTTGGATAATGAGCAACATTGTTGTCGTTGGTTTGGTTCATCTCAGGTACTAAGTGATCAGTATTCCCTACACCATTGTGAGAATCAATAATCGCTTTCAATTGTTCACGAACTTGAGTTGCTGTCAATCGTTTCGCGGGATTCAATTGAAGTAGACCCTTTATAATTCCTTCAGTGGCCTTGGATATTTCACAATTCCTGCAAATTTAACAAAAGCAAATTATAGTTTGGACGTCGAAATTTTGAAGAAAAAAAATCCCGTTTTGCATACATTGGAATGAAGTATTCAGCCGCTTTGATTTTTTTGAATAGCGCAGCTGGCGTGGATTCAAAAAATGGAAATTGGCGATAAAGCATCATGAATAAGACAACACCCAGAGCCCACATATCAGACGGTTTGCCTTTGTATGGCTTGCCACTCAGCACATCGGGTGCTATGTAGGCTGGTGATCCGCGTTGATCGTACAGCAAATCGTTTTCATTTAGCAAATATTTTCCCAAACAAAAGTTTGTAATGGTAATTTTGTTGGTTTGTTTGTTAAGTACAATATTTCCCAATTTCAGGTCACGATGGATAATATTTTTGGTGTGCAAATTTTCCACAACCGAAATAATCTCATAAAAGATTGTCAACGCCTCAATTTCTGTCAATTTTTTGCGATTAATTAAATACTGCTGCAAATTCACAAGCGCTGATGATTGTGGACTGAAATAGAACAATACAAAAACGCAAATAAAAATAAAATTACGGTAATTCATCGTCTGATGATGATTAAAGGTGGCGGCGGCAGCGGCCGTGTTACTCACTCAAAATCGTGCGGGGTCACACAGTCTAATACTAAAATCAGTCGTTTTCTCATTGATCCCGTGTAGAAATTATTGTTGCTACCATTATCGGCCAACACTTCTTCGTGTGCAACATCCTAATTGTTAAAAAAAAAATCGACAAAAAACCATTTAAAATGCATAAAAAATAAAATGTACTGTATTTTTGTTGAGTCATTTGCATATATTAAATTGAAAACTCACACTAAATAGTCCATGCTGTTGAATTACACCATTTTCATTTTGTAGCAATGACAGTAATGAGAACTCCGTATGTAAAAGCATTTTACCCTGTCGTTCGTCCAGTTGTAACTTTTCATTCGCTGTGTTATTGTTCAACATTAAGATCTGTGTGCGAATGAATAAATAAATAATAATAAATGTGTTAAATAAATTATCACGTGTCCAATATAAATGCAATTCGAATTTTGTTTACTTTGTACAAAGTACAAAATACGTATGTGACATACACGTCATAAATGGAAACGTACCTTGAGCTGCACAAATTCGTTGGTATTTTCTTTTTTTGCTAAATACTGTACAATGCTATCGACTGGACTATGTCCCAGTTTCAGGCCAATTATATAGGGTCCGGCCCGTCTAAATTCACGTCGATTCACCGTTTGTCCATACATTGGACACATGATGGCTTCACTTGGTGACTGTTCATCTTTCGCAATGTTATTATCACAATTATCGGAAATAGTTGCGGTGGCAAATGTCATTCGTTTATCGCTACTATGATCAGATGAAGCGAGTGACTCATTGTCGTCGGTAACGTCCGTTAGTATTGAATTTGATTGTTCGTCTACGAATGTTGATGTGCTAGTTGGCGAATCAAGTTTGCACTTTTTCAATACTGCATCGATTTCATCAAATTTCCGTTTGTTACTTTCTGTTATCACCATGGTCTCGCTATACGATGGAATTTCGCTTGTCATCAAAGACATCTTGTTTGTTTATTTTTTCTTTCTCAATATGTGAACGACACACAAACGTAATGGGTTTCTTTGTTTTGCTGTTTGAAATATTAATTAACTTAAAAATGTTCGACAATTGCACGTAAACAAAAAAATCAACAGAAAATAATTCAATATGTTAAAAATTATTATTCAATTATGAAATGGTGATATTATAACATCTTATGTCACTTTCACTTGTAAAACTTTTACTGTCGTCTATTCCATATGAGTTGAATATTATTTCTAATCAAAATCCTTTCATCGAACCACCATAAAACACACAATTCACGCTAGAAAATTTGCATGATGTAAACTATGTAACAGGTTTCGTATTATATTTCCTTGTTTTGTGTTTTCGAAGTCCGTTGCTGTGCTGACAGAATATCCAGGCGACGTCGACGACAACGAATTGGAAAAACTTATGTATGCGTCTTCCACCACACAAACAATATTTATATACGAAATTTTGGGTGAACAACAAACGTCGAAACATGCATTCGGTATGAATTGGTTTGTTCGTTCGTCTCTATTTTTTTTCGTTTCTTTTGTTCACGATGACAGTTCAATGTGAAATTCATTGTGACTAGATGTGTTACCAAACACGTACACCTCACCAATACATTCATACACGTACAAACATTTTGTATAACAAAATGTCAAAATACAGCCATTATACGAGAGTTTGGGGCTGTATTGCATGCGATAAAAAAGATGATGTCACAATCTTACGAAATTACATGTTATTCAAGTCAAGCTATTCATGTTTGAGCTTATTAGAAGAAACAAATGGTCGGTCTCGTTAAATTAACAACACAATTCTTTAATATACGAATTAATAAAAATATTTAGAGGAAACGACAGTAAAGCAAAAACAATGAAATTGTATATTTTATGGTCGAAATAACCACTAGAAAAAAAGGGACGGTTCACGATCGTTCTGGAATTTCTGGAAATATCAAATAAGTATTTCATCAGCTTATTTTGAAATCATTTAATTACAAACATATCAAATGTCAATTAAAAAGAAAATAATGCTCTGATGCTGATAACATATTAAAGAAATTGATTTATTTTTAAAAATGCAATAGCCATGAATACATTTTTTCATGAATCTTATTTGATTGATTCCGTAGGAGTTTTCATCAAAACACTCAGTTCACGATGAGAAATAAAAACAACACATTGAGCGCCCACGGTCAGTTTTGGCATATATGGAAATTGAAGACGATGTGGCGCCAATCTCAATAACTTACCTTTGAATTTATCGCTTATCGCCAATATTCTGAATAGATGAAACCGTGATATTGAAAGAGCTATTTTAAAATATTAGGAAAAATTAAATAAACGAAAATCACCGTTTTTAGTATTTTATGTATATATTTGGAGATTTAATTGAAATTATTTTGTTTTAAAGCTTAAATTAGAATAGATATTTCGTACAATTGATATATTTAATGTTGTTGTTTATTTGGGTTATTTAGTGAGCAAATGTTTTTGTTTTCAATATGTTGTTCAGACGTTTAAAAAAAATAAAGTTAATCACCGTTTGGATAAATAATAATATAAAATGTTTATGTATGTTTGTGTGTGTGTGTATGTTCACCATTAATAGGCATTTACGCAGGCATTATACGATTCGTTTTCTTAACGCGTTAAAAATCAATGTTAGAATTAAATTTTAAAGATTGTTCCGAATAAAATTGTCTTTTGTTTTCGGTTATTATCTCTGTGTCTCCCTCTCTAGGTTGTGGTTGAATGGTTTTTATCAGGATGAACCGAATTCTCGCATCCATCTTTCATACTTTTCTAAATCTTGTTTTGAGACACTTTTGTTGCATTTACTAATGGCTTCACTAAAATCTTGCGTTGAAACCGGTAAATCAACTTCTTCGGTGGCCAATTGTCGAATTTGCTCCGGTTTTAAACCGGCAATTTTACGTCGCATCGACATCATACTAGCATCACGACACACATTTGTAATATCAGCACCTGAGTAACCTTGTAGCTTCCGTGAAATACTTTTTAAATCAACACTTGGGTCCAGTTTCACTTCGCGCAAATTGATTTTTAAAAGGGCTTCGCGGCCTTCATCAGTTGGCAAGGGAATGTAAATACGTTTCTCAAGACGACGTCTCAACGCCTCATCAATATCCTAAAAAATACAAAAATTCTTCAAATTTATCCATTGTAGAAGACTTAATTTTTAATGTTACCCATGGAAAATTGGTTGCTGCCAACACCATCACAACTTTGTTGGCCTCTTCACTGCCAACGCCATCCATCTGTACAAGCAGTTCAGATTTAACGCGTCTCGATGCCTCGTGTTCTGATTCTGAACCACGCCGCGAACACAATGAATCAATTTCATCGATAAATATAGTGCTTGGCGCATAAAATCGTGCCATTTCAAATAATAATCGAACCATTTTCTCTGATTCACCACGATATTTGGAAGTCAATGTGGACGATGATACATTAAAAAATGTTGTGCCACATTCGGTTGCAACCGCTTTGGCTAACATCGTTTTTCCCGTTCCGGGAGGTCCGACCATTAATACACCTTTCCATGGACGTCGAATACCCTTTAATGATAACATTTAGTACAAATTGAATAGTTCATGGTCATTGAACTCACCTTAAAATAATCGGGCATCCACATTGGAAGAACAACGGCCTCCTCTAACAGTCGTTTGGCTTCACTTAAGTCTGCGATATCATCCCATCTAATATTGGGATTTTTCTGTAAAATATCACGCTCTGTTTCAGCGCGTTACGAAAAACCTCAATTAGTGTTATGTAAATGCAAATAAAAGACTTTATTTACCTAAAACATCCACAAGATCACCATCCATATGATTTGATGCTTCGAATCTCTTTTCTTCTTCGACTTGCTCTTCCTCCTTGTTTTCTTCATCTTTTGCTTGACTAGATTCCGTATTTCCATTTGCAGTGGGCCTCTTTCGTCCCGTATTCGGTTGACTTGATGCGCTGCCTTTTTTACCACCCTTTGACGATGCCGATGATTTTGACTGTGGCCCTTTACGATTATCTGTCTTTCGATTTGCGCTCGGCCGTTGTTGTTGTTGTGGTCGACTGTAAATAAAAACGGATTTATTCATAAGACTTTTCCAACTCAATTGTGCCAAAATCGGCCAAAATGGAATGTATAACGAACCGATCAATCGGAGGTGCAAATACATCTGGATCATGGTGCGGTGGTGGTGACCAAACATCAGGATCAGGTCGAAACCACGCGGCCGGATCTTTGTATTCATCTGTGCTTTTTGTGGGCAGGCGACGAAATAGCGGTGCATTGTGCAAATCCATTGTCATTTCGGTTAGCTCCTTTTGTATCGATTTCATTTGTTGATATTCTTTATTTATTTGCTGTTGAACCTAGAAAAATCAATAAATCGTATTCGATTAGGAAGTCATGTATGGATATCGACCCCCCACGCCTCCAATCTCATACCATCGTCCATTTTCCTTTTCGCATTGGATCATTTATGTTAGCTGTAAATCGTTGTAGTGATGGTATTAAAGCTTCATAATAAATGCTCGCACCGTCATAGTTTCCTACATGCGACAAACAATGTGACATATATTTTTGGTGTCATTGCTCTATAAATCCGAATTGGTTTTATGAACTAGTATATAACTCACCGGCTAGTGCCATATCGCGAGCCATTTTCGCATTCTCACATATTTCCGCGCTGCTAATGACCTTCGCCATGACTGTCATTCCTACGCCCAGTTAATATTTATATTTCTGGTCTATACTATATAAAACAGATGCACGGAATTTCAAATCGATTTAAATACACCAAATGTCAATTGTCATATTAATTATTATGATTATTGATGTCATGTCGTCACCAGTGTATTTGTTAATAAACAATTCGATCGAAGCAAAATTTTTATCGATTTAAACATAAAATCATTTCAAATGCACATTTTGCTTACAAAATTAATAAAATGATGATGATAAAAAAAAAACAACAACGACACGATCACATTCACTTCAGATCTTCTTTCTTCTTTGTTTTGGATAAAAAAAATCAACAAACAATTCAATGTTCTTAATTAAAATCGATGGCGGATATTTTACATTTGTGTCATTTTCAATCGAAAAAATGACTGTACACAACACATATTGAATGGAAACAACTTGTTTTTATCGTGTTTTTGAGCAGATTGCATAAAATCTGATCGCAGACAAACTACGCGAAACTATGTGAATTTTTGACGGTCTTTGCATCTATGTGTGCAGGTTGTGTTTCAAGGAAAGGTACATATTTGACTGACATGATTCTTTCAAATGGTTCACATACACATAGCGACACCATCGGATATGATTGTAAACACGCCGTTGTCCCAAAATGTCTCTTTGCTATGCGATGGAACTTGTAAACAAAGACCAAAAAATTCCCGTTCACACTATGTTTGGCAAATTTTCCGTTTCGAAAATGCTTCTTAAATGGAAAAATGATAGTTTAAACCAAATCTTTCAACATAAAATACGAAATTATATGCACATGATGGAAAAAAAATGTTTAGTTTTCTTTTGAAATTTCAATTTACCGCTGAAACTCTTGTCAAACTAACAAAACACTCAAAAATGAGCAATTTTTTAACTGATTGAGTGAAAATTGCATTTAATTCAACTCGAAATCATCAATGCTTATCGGTTTGCTCGTTGTTTTTTTTCGTCGATATATTTCGTACAACAACAATATGCGATTTGTTTATGCTTTACTAGCTTTCTGTTGCGCATGTGTGCACTATGTGCTGACTGTCAAAACAAAGTCATGTGAAAAATATACACACAATGCCAGAACAACAACGAAATCAAAAGTATTCTCGATGTGGCTGGTTTGTTTGGCTTTTTATAAATGAAAAATCAAGCATGTGATGTGATTCTATGTGCTGAGCTGAGAGAGAGATAGAGTGCGTGTTGTGAATATATTACGTTCAGTACGATTTTGTTTGTTGTGGCACGATAACCGCAAACATTAAATTGGTGAGCTTAAAATTTCAAATTGAAAGGAAATTCGCCAACAACGTCCAACGACTTGTGTCCTTGGGGTAGGCAATTTTCAAGAAATCGATTTTTTGTTTTCAAAAAGGATTATCGTGCAGTTAATCTCTTTTTCTGGTGACATAATACTGAAAAAAATTGAATTTTCTCTCATCTACAGGAATCAAACATTCTGTGGTTTTATTATATTCTTTACTTCAGTTGTTTGGCAAGAAATTCTTCTTCATAATCATCATGGTGAGTGTAAAATATAATCGCATAGAAAAATGAACAAATTTCATCAATTTTTATAGCTTTTTAATAAAATGAACCAATTTGCTAATGTGAACTTTGACTGACTTTCAAATCGGAGTAAATTTTAATTGGAATCATGTGATGAGCAGAATATTTAAAGAAGCAAAAGAAAAGGCGATAAAGTTTGTTGATTAAAAGACGACTTTATCTAAACATAAGCTATTTTCGGTTGCGAAACGGAGTTTCTTTTTCGTGCGAAACTATTTTCGTCGAATTTTTTCTCTCGAATGATTAAGTTTCAAAAGTCAAATAGTCGAAATCCGTTCATTTTCACACAAAAGATGATTACATAAATGTGAATTTACTTTGATGCTGTCAAGCGAAATAATTATTTTTTCTCGTGCGCGCGAGAACATCCGCCTACCTTGGAAATTGAAATATTCAATCAGAATGTCACTATATGAATTCAATGTCGACATTTTTGCGTTCGCGTTCAATCTAGTGAGCCGCTCGTTATAATTCGCACAGAAGATTCATTGTATTCAGTGGCCAAAATATGAATTCGTTGTGATTCGAGGCAAACGATGACCGTTGTTAGCCAATGTAATAATCTAAAATTAAATTCTATTTTGTGAAAAACGTCATCGTTCACCCGCTAAAAATCATTTGCAAAAATGAACAAACGAAAATATAACCTTCGAAATGTGTCACCGAAAGCAAGAAAAAATATTGCTCAATTTGCTCTATCTCCACTCTGGTCACAGCAACTAACAGCTGGAACTCTACTGTGTTTAATGAGATATTTCATAAAATGCCAATCATTTCTAATTGTGTCGTCGCAAATAAGCATATATGCGGAATGCATTGAACTTGAGTGAAAAATAAATCATTGTTTTAGCTATTCGCTTGTCATCAAATGGCAATGGAACGCGAGGCGATCCTAAAGAAACAATTACAAATTTTACAATCCGAACAAAGCAACCAATCGGATAGCACATTTCAACCCGTTCCAGTGCCATCTGTAAGTTGGTTTACTGTCATTTTCTGTCTGATATGAACGTAGTCAGCTTCGAACGTATAAAATACTGAGCTTGAGTAAAAATTAAATATTAAACCCATGGCAACTAACGAAAATTGACGCAATTTGAAATGACTGATTCGTACAAATGCTCAATAATGAATTCCATTTGTAATTGTAGGCAAGCAGTGACAATGTTCCAGTTATATGGATTTTGGGCGGACCAGGAAGTGGCAAAGGGACGCAATGCGCCAAAATTGTGGAGAAATTCGGCTTTAGCCATTTCAGCACGGGTGATTTGTTGAGAGCCGAAGTCGCTGCTGGCACCGATAAAGGTAAAGAATTGTCGGAAATCATGAAACGCGGGGACCTCGTACCAAACCAAGAAGTTTTGGACTTGTTGCAAAAGGCAATGAAAGAAGCTCTCGGTAAATCGAAAGGTTTTTTGATTGACGGGTTAGTATTTTTTTTTATTTCCATCACTTTTTTAATACTTTAAATATTGACTTAGACAATTTATAAACATATTTTGCCAAACAGATATCCTCGTGAAAAATCGCAAGGTGTTGCGTTTGAAAAATCAATTGCTCCAGTCGATTTGATCATCTCACTTGAATGTAAACCGGTAATTTAGTTAATTTTTTAAATTAAAAAACAATTTTCAGTTTTAAAATGACTATTTTCGTCTGTTGTTCTGGTCCATCAAATAGGAAACAATGGTATCGCGTATTTTGAAACGGGCTGCTGAATCGGTTGAAAAGCGTGCCGATGATAATGAAGCCACAATTAAGAATCGCATTGAAACCTTCATCAAAAACACCGACGAAATTTTAAGTCAATACCCATCACAAACCAAACGGGTTAGTTTCACTTTTTTCCAGCAATGTTTTTCGTATTCATTTTGAATTCATTTCGGAATTACGTTTTCAGGTCGACGGCGAACGAGACGTGGATGCAATTTTTTCCGAAGTTTCAGAAGCCATTTCTGCTGTGGTTGCCAAGAAATCATGAACATTTTGCACACTACACAAATCTCGACAATACATGCAATAAATACAAACATATATACAACACCATTTAAAAATCTAAATGTGGAAATTTGTTTTCGAAAAATTGGACCAAAAAATAACATTTTCTGGCGCTAATGAATGGAAGCAAAACAGTGCTATTGCAATTCATATTACTTACAACCTAAGAGAATGACACCAAAGTAATCACAAATTTTAACTTTCAATTAGCAAATTGAATTTGTCAGTAAACAATTTTTCTTGTAATTTAATGTTATGTAAAGTAAAATAAATTAATAAAAGACACTCTTCACACAAACGTTTTTTTCTATTTCATTTTAGTAAAAAAAATATACATGAAAATTTACAGTCTATGTATTTCGGATGGATATCCATCCGAGATATTTTAGAATATCTGAATATTCAACGCAACTGCACAGCGCCAGAGCTGTTTGCGTCGCAAATAGAATCTACGGTAGGTCGCTACGTATATGTGTATCAAGTGCCGCACGTACACAGTCACACTGTGTCTGTATTTTTCGTGTAGCGACATACCGTAGATTATATGTGAGACGCACACAGCTCTGACCCTGTGCAGTTGCTTTAAATATCCAGATATTCTAAAATATCTCGGATGGATATCTATCCAAAATACATACACTGAAAATTTATGTAGGTCGAATTGAAAAGATTTTTCAATTCAAAAGTAATATTCATCGATTAAACAAACACAAAAGCGAGAAAAGAACATGAAGACGGACAAGTTACATAACAACCCATTTATTGATGCACACACAAGAAAGTCGAACTGCACAAATTCATGGAAAATTATTTATCTCGATTAATTTTGAAAGTTATCATTTGCGCATTAGAATTACGTAATAATCATCGAAATATGTTATCATAAAAATAGACTTTCCTTTAATTTTTTTTGCAACGAATACTAATAAAGAAAACATTCCAATTTTTTCGATTCATAACTAATATATTTTCATTGTGCACTGAGTCTTATAATTCTATGCTACACATAACTTTTAAACATACAATACTGTTTATGATAAAACAGAAAAAACAACAAAGAATCATACATATGAAAAAGAAGAAGAAGAAGAAAAGAAAAATAAATGTTTGCACATAAAAGTATAGAAATTATTTTGAATATGAGAAAAGAAAATGATAATAAAGAACTCAAAATTGCAGTTATAAATCTAATTATTAGATAATATTTACATTCGAGTAACATTGTTTCGCGTCGAATGGTATGATTTGTTTTGTGTGTGTGTGTGTTTTCGTGATTTTGTTCCTTATCGATACACATAATAATGGATTTTTCTTTTGTTGTTGTGTTCTTCATCAAATAATTGGGATGTTTTGTATGTGAATAAAGTTGAGATAGACAGTAAATGTTCGAGATTTATTATTTAGTTTGTGTTGCTTATTTTATTAAAATATTGGTGGCTTGTGGATTTGGGCTGGCGCTTCTTCGTACTTCTTCGATTTTTTCCTCCAGAATTTTTTTGATTTCTTCAACCGTTTTTATCATAAAAATCGGCACATCATCATCTCTGCGCTGGAACAACATTTCCCCTTCAAAATCAATAAATTTGTGCTTTCTTGCTCTCAACAGCAGTCCAACAAGTTTGTCATTTATACATGTGTAAATCTATTTGAAAATAATACAAAATCATGAAAATTCATTTGATTTCAAACAATTCAATTGGACTCACATTAAATAGTTCACCAAATAGAATCACTTTCAATTTTGGATGCTCTTTGTCGTGTGAATAGCCTTCGGAATTGATGATTTGACACAATTCTAACATATCTTTGCATACATGAATATTTGCTTTTTGGCCACGCGCCTCAGTTAAGCTACCTGCCACCGGTCTTAATTATTAAATGAACATAAATAAATTGTTAAATAAATTGTTTTTATGGTGCAACAAGTCACAATTTACTCACCTTCCATATTCTTCTTTACTAAATTTTGGACGTGGAGCTCCCCGTTCTGCGTTGGCATTTGTGAACGGATTCAACAGTTGAGATTGTTGATGAGCATTCGATGATTGGTTGAACATTGCGACTTTGGACGACAAGGGCGAATCCTATTTTTGCAAAATAAACAACAATTGAATTTCCTTCGTTTTCAAATTATTAAATCTAATATGAACAGTTTTTCGCTCGATAATACAAAGTCTAAGTGTTCAAGGTGGTTTGAATTAAAACGCAAAATGCAAACACTGAAATGATATTCAAATTATTTTTGGATTTTGGTCACTCGAATGTTCTCTCTGTTCGAGTCGAGCAGCCAGACTGATCTGTTTTGATTTGTCTTTTTATCGTCCTGAATGATTTGTGGTTGTTAATTTTAGTGTGCGTCTAAACAAACAGCATGTGAAACTGGCCATATACAAACAAAGTACTTTCGATATCTGTATACTGTCTGAGAATCTCATTTGGATACGGTAACACAGCGTTCACAAGCAACGTGATACACGATTCGAGCGCGTAAATTTAAATAATGTTAATTAATTTTTTTTTCTCCAAACATTGTTATTAAAAATGAGAAAATCTTTGTTGTTGTTGTCGATTCAGAAACAGACTGAAAGAGAAATTTGTTGTTGTATGTATTGTGGGAAAATGTTTGGTTTTTCTTTCTATCCGCAAGAATACACAATGGCAATATGAACAAGTGCAGAGAAATTAATTGTTTGAGTTTGTAACTTTTCGTTGCCGTTTTGTGCCATTAATTAGCATTATATTTATGGAATTTTTATCGCATTACAAACGTTTGAACAAAAAGAATGAAAAAGAAGAAGAAGATGATAAAGACTATCAAATGGCATCTTGCATATGAGATATGAATTTGAATTTTGAATTGGTTGTAAAGACACAGTTTTTCCCGTTTTCTAAAAACGGTAATGGGAAAATACTGTCTCCCAAACTGTCAATCTCCACGACAATGCCATGTGTGGCGCCTTTTCAGCAACTTATAAGTTATTCGAATCAGCAAATCATTAAACAAATTGAATGTTGGCACATTGCCAAAAATTAAATTCAACGTGTTTATCGAATTTGGCTGATTTAGCCAAAATTGATTGATTAATCTTGATTGAAATAAGTTAAACGATTACATATCTTTAACAATGCATTTTGGCCCACAATTAAATGTTTGATATACGAAAAGAAAATATTTGAAATTCGTCGAGCATTTCCACAAACTGAAATCATATATTTTCTGATCATTAAATTGTGAATATCGTTTGATAAAAATGACTTGAGAAATGAAAATAGTGGTGATGATGAACTAAAGTGTTATCAAATGCCACTTTAGTCAGTGAATGGCGATCTTGTTACGAAATGCGGAAATTTCAATAGATAAATATCGTTACATGTTATAATTTCAGGGTCTTTGGACCTATCTCTTGTCCATTATCTCAATAAACTATCGGAATTGTGTTATTTCTTCATTTGTGTTTTGGTTTCTTGGTTCGTTGATGCATTGTAACGCAAATAGACCGATGCATTGTGAAAAAGATTAAATAGACAAAAGAAATCCAAACAATGGAAATGAGCGACGTAAAAGAGAAAGAAAATGATTCAATAAAATTACATATTCGATTCGACCGATAACCATGGCAAACAACAACGATAATGCATTCTCATATCATTAGATCTGTATCAAATTCATTTATATAAATTATGAATGTGTCGCACTGCATATTACTTGATTTTTGAAATTCGCGTGCGCTCAATTATACAAACTTTTATTCATATGAGCAGAAATTGATATGTTCATGTGACGGATGTAAAAAAAACTATTTCCCTTTAATTATCGAATAAACTTCTGCTCATGCTACCATATGCTTTGTTTGCAAACTTAATTAAATCTGCAAAAATGCCGACAATTCTTTTGAATATTTTGAATAAATTGCGAAATGAAAAAGAAAACATGAAAAAAAACGACAAAAATCGAGAATTCGCGATGAATTAAAATCTTAGTTGTTGTTGTTTTATTTAATTTCAATGAATGTGTGTGAGCCAGCGGTGTGTTTTTTACTGCGGTGTTGTCGATTTCCTCGTGCAGAGGTGTTGGCAAGCAGCACTTCTTCATCGCCTCGTCTCGAGATCTAGTTCGTAATGTGGGCAGTCGCAATTTAATTAGGTTAAAATCTGAGTAATGGAATGTATCATTTTTTTGCTAATTAATTGCCCAATAAACGCCGTTGTTTTTAACGGCCACACTTTACACATGAATGAGAATTTATTGCGCCTAAAATGTGATTGATTGACGTCGCTACCGACACCGCTTCAAGTTCACTTGATTCCGATAGATAAACGTATAAGTCAAAAGTCTCGAAGTCTCTGTCAAATGGCTGCATCATTTGTTTTTTTCTCTCTTCTGATGTTGGCACATTCACAAAAATGCGCTTCGATTTGCGCTCATATTGAATCATTCGAACGATGCTGTTAAGTAGATTTTATGTTGCGACGACACTACTTTCTTATACATCCGCATATTTTGCTCTTCTACTGCCCGACCACAGATTCTGTGACACGACTGAAATTGACATTGAAAATTTTTCGAGGCTCATCGAAATACACTCAATTCAAGACGGTTGCGACGTTCTGCGCCATGAAAATCGAAACATCTTCTGGTAATAAAAATTTTAATTTTATTATCCTGTTCCGAAATGACAAGAGAGAAAAAAATTGTCGGCAATTTCGCAAAATTATTATTATGAAGGAAAAGCAAATTCACAAACATCAATTTCTCACAACAGCAAGAAAAAAAGAAACAAACAAATGTAAATCGATCGGGAAATGAATTCGAAAAATACGAAGAAACATTTGAAATTATAAAAAAATAACAAAATATTCCACAAATATAAAAATAATTGAATCGTTCAGTTTATGCACGCACGGTCGCCGTTACAAAATAAATACTACACACATTCAATCAAAGTAATTTATGCACATTACAAATCGTATTTTTCACCTTACATGCGTTCGGTCTTTTATACGATATTACATGTTTATTCGCTCGAAATGCATTGGCCGCCTCTATTCAAAGAATCACGGCTTTAATTCAAGTTAATTAGATTTATTTAGTCTTCCCATTACCGAGTTGCGAATCAGTCGGTTAGAAAGAGAAAATGAACTGTGCGATTTGACGATTTAAAGTTTTCGAACAGATGATTTGTGATGAAAGAACACTCTCTGTTCCGAATTGTTTTCTTTTTGTCTGAACTTTTTTTTTTGTCAAAATTTATTCTTTCTCATTTTATTTTAAAATTGTCTCTTACCACAACGAATCTGATTGCGCTGAGTTCGTGATCTACATCTGCCATTATGATTGATGTGTGTTTTTTGTCTTGTTTAATTTACTTTTTTAGTTTTACACTGAAACTCGGACTAACCCCTTTTTGGATTTTCTTTCAGTTTGATATTTTGAATTATTTTTTTTCTTCTTTTAAATGTGTTTTGGTAATTCACTTTTATCTCCTCGAATCGGAATGAATTTTATTTGAATTGGAAATAAATTTGAGCAACTTCAAAACTGTTTGCCGCTAACAAATTGCAAAATAAAATCTATAGATTAAGATGCGCGCGAATATAATTCTCTAAGTTGCTCTAAGTTTGTTGAGTTTTACTTGTTGCTCGAAGCGATAATCTGATGCGAATGAGACTGGTAGCGCAGTTTCATTGAATGATATAAGAATGGGAAAGCCGCCACTTCTATACATACATTCAGTTGATGACGCCGTCGCGACGAAAAATAACCGCGCGCGCAACATACTCACGGAAAAAATTTCGGTGACGCTCATTTTGCCGATACTTTAAAAATAACGGCGAAAAGAAAAATTCCTCCGCAGCCGAACAATAACGATCGAAGCAACAAACAATTTTTTTTAAAGCGAAAGCTTATTGGGAGTCGGTAATTTTTCAACAAACGACCGTTATGTGCACGATGTAGAAGTGTGAGCCGTTTTGTTTGTTTGTTTGTTGTTGTTTTTTGGTGCGATGATGTGGGGCACACTTGCGAATATTCAAAAGCGAATGAAACTTGAGCTGCGGAATATTTCATGCCAAAATAATGGTATAGCGAATGGGAATGCACACGAGCGCGGGAAAGTATGCGAACATATGTTTGGCAAATTGTTTTTTTTTTTCATTGTTGATTTTTCTTATTTTTTCATGCGAATTCCACATTAATAGGGAAAACCAATCAATCTATCAACCAGCATGTATCCTTTAAATGAATTCGCAAATTGCCAGCAACATCCTTCGAATTAACTGTTTGCATTGAAAATTGCACTTTGTTTTATACACATTACTTTTGATTTTATTGAAACCATACTTTGAAACTTCAATGATTATCGAGTTCTTTGATCATCATCAGGGATTCCCCTGATGTTCATTTTGCGAGCAAAAAATAATGAATCACTCGTAATGCAATTGGCAAAGTTAGTAAAAATGCCGTTTTTGTTCATTTTGACGAGGCGGTGACAGTGAGAATTTTGAGTCACCGTCTCTGAATAAAACAGCAATAAAAAGTGTATAGTCAATATAAAATTGACTATTGTGGGTTAATTTCTTGAAATGACTAAGGTTTATTAAAAAATTATTATTATTATTTTCATTCATTATCCTGCGAAATTTATTTCATTCATATGAATTATTTTCCGTCAATATCAGTAGCTACGAATCGACGCAGACCAACCGATGGAATGTGTCGATATTTATAAACATATTATTTATATGCTACGGATTATGGACTTTTCCGTCGCGGCTAAATATTTGATGGAATTCCACCGTCATCATCGAACGAAAGCTGAAAGAGAATATTCCGAGTACAAAGTCGCGATCTTTAATTAAAATTGAATTCAGAAAAAGCAAACATAAAGATAAGCGATCGCTTTGCGTTGGCTTTTGTTGTTTTAGCAGACACGTTAAACCGTTTTGATTATTTTGACTTCGCATATTTTCGCGTGCAAGATCCTGTGAAGTGTCTATTTTCCTATCGAGCTCATAAAAATCGAGCGCGAGCAAATTGAGCCGATTGATGTGGTATTTTTAGATTGTCTTAGATCTCGTTTATTACGAAACGATACATGAATGAATGTTCATGAATTTCTCCATATTGATCCTGACATTGATCGTGAACTAATGTTTACAATTGCGGAAACCGTTTTGAAAGGCTACATCAAATCTCAATACTGTACTTTGTAAAAATAAGCCAGCTGTTGAACGATTTCTTTGTTTAAAGGATCGAGTACTATCTGTCAAAATATTTCCCCCTATGCCAAGCGAAATTAATTCGATATACGGCGCTGATGTAAATGTCACTCTGTCATTTCACAATAATACTTTTTTGGCTTGACAATATATAAGCTCTTCATTTAAAATGCATACACATTCATAATTATTGAATCGTTGAAAAAAAAACATGTCATAAAATATTTTTCTAACATTTTTCATTAAAAAATTTATTAAATTTTTTTTTTATAAAAAAATTAATTTGTTTATAAATTACAATAATTTCAACAAAAAATGTTTCATCGATTAAATAAGAATCCAATGTAAATAGTAATGACAATGCGACACCTACCGTAAAAATGCAAAAAGAAACTTAGTTGGTATCCATTGTAGCATTTTTGTCCACCATGACAGCATCTTCGTTTTACTTGACCAATCACAGAGAAGCAAAACGAAGATGCTGTTATGGCGGACCAAAATGTTACAATTCCAAATAAGTTTCCTTTTCTATTTTAACGGTAGGTGTCGCATTGGTATTACTTTTTACATTAGATTCTTGTTCAATCTATGAAAAAAAAAATTGAAATTATTGTTATTTTTAAACAAATAAATTTAAAATAAACGTAAGAAGAATATTTTATGATATGTTTCTTTTTTTTACTCGACCGTTCAAAAATTATGCATGTTGAATGAAGAGCTTATATATTGTCAAGTCAAAAAATGTATCATTGTGGAATGACATAGAGTGACATTTAAATCAGCGCCGCATATCGGATTTATTTCGCTTAGCAAAGGGGGAAACGTCGTACTTGCTCCTTTACGTCTCATTAAAAATGTCTCTTTTTTGTCAAATTATCGTAAAAATCTCATGGTTGACAGTCATCAACGTTGTTACAATGTTCGGAAACGCCCTAATTTTCTTAAATACGTCGAGTGTCATAAATCTTTGCAGAAGTGTCAACTCAGGTGACCCGGTGAACGATTCCACAAATGAAGCGTAGAAATTGGGTAAAATCCGTTCGTAGCATTTTTTTGGCAATGCATAATCAGCATTTGGCATCAAGCCAAAGTTTCACTCTTTCAAGCTGTAATTCTTCAAGTTACACCGCTCACGGATTTTGAATCAATCGCAAAGCTTTTTTCTTTCGTGATAACTTACGAAAATGAATTTTCATGAATGAATATGTGAATGCGCGATGTAAAGCGCATTTAAAATGAAATGCGTATGACTTTTATGATTGTAAATGACGTCTTGCTTTTCATTCATCGCACACATATCATTGTTTCATGACATGGATGGGCTGTTACGCCGCTGAATCACCGTCGTAAAAATATTTCACACGTTTCCGTTTCAATTGATTTGTTGATGAAATGTGCAGCGTAAACAACATTTGAAATCTTTCATTCATTGAAAGTTTTTAGCCAAAGTGTAAAATGATCGAATCACAAGGTTAAGGATAATACACTGAATACATCAAGTATACCTTCACTTTTTGTACTCATGGGACCATTAAAATGCTTTTGCTTTTTTATCAACATATGTCATACGAGCTGTTTTTCTTATTCATAATATAAATTTAAATGAAAGTTATAATTTCATTTGAGTTCATATCCTGGCTGTAACAAATGGCGCCACTAAAATCGATTGGACATTTTCCAAAGAAAATTTTAATATATGTAATGAAAACGATCGTGTCCACCACAAGAATGCCATCCAAATTATACATGTATATTATGGATTTGGTTATGCGGGTAGTCCAATTCCATCTATAAATAGTGCACACAAGCACGTTCGGAAAGTATTCGGCCTTGGCAAAATGTAAACAACATATTTTATACGAACTAAAAAATATCACAGCGAAGAAAAACAGAAAACTCATCTTAAAGAAGAGATCTTTGAATCATTATCTTATTAATAATTGAGGCGATTGGGAAAACATCTGTGCCAACGGTTCAAATGAATCAGATGTTTGATCAACATTTTCAAAAGATCGTCTTGTTTGACGTCATTGAACGCGAAATTGACTACGACCAAGATTTGCAATAATTAAAACCAAAAAAAAGATGAAAATATTTATATAAACTTTTGTGACGCAAACACACTACCCTCCGGTTTGTTGACATTTTATGTGCGTTGCCATTTTTGGTAATTTCACTATGTGAACACACGTGTTGCCGGCATCTTTTTGAATTTAAGCTTACAAATATTTTTGATTTATGAACGCACACATTTATTATTCAAAACGGATGTGCGGCAGTGTTAAAAAACTTTGGTTCAAAATTAAAACTGATGCGCACTTCAATTTTGATTGATTTTTTTACCATTTTCGTACAAAATAAATTTCAAATAGATCGAATTGTAAGCAAGATTTTTAATTTAAAAAAGTTAATTATTGATAGTAACGGTTATTAGGGATTTTGTTTTGCTAATGTTAAAATAAAATATTGTGCATAATATTAACAAATTCTAATACGGAATACGTATATATAACGAATTTATATTTTGGATTAATTGCTCTTGATATAAACATAATTTCATATTTGGTTATTTCGAATGAAATTTTAATTCTTTCCGTAATTCGACAAAAATCAAAACATGTTATCTTTAAATGAAATCGATTCTTACTTGAATAAGATTTCTTGCATTGCTAACAAACTGCAGGGTTTACACGCAAAGTCGAGTGTTTACATGCATACTACTAATTGACATTTGGATTGTCATTTGAAGCATATAGTAGAATTTCCGGGTAAAACATCTTAGTTGCACGTGAATATCGCAAAGCAGTGATCGGCAGTGATCAATTTCAATATCGAAAGGATAAATAATTATAATTGCCACTTTATAATAGTTAATAATTATTTTATCAGCTCTTTATTTCATATCCTGAAAAATGGCTAACGAAATTATGAGTCAATATGGTGAAATTGATGAAACACGTAAGTATTCAAATTAGTTTTCTACTAATTTTACTATTAGTTAATTTTCTCGAATTTGGCTCTTTTCATTACATATTTTCAATTATTAACAGACGAAATTCTTCAGCGGTACACCCGTTTGTACATGAACGATAAACACTCAGATGTGATTATTGTTGTTGATGACAACAAAATACCGGCACACAAACTTATTTTATCGGCGAGCAGTTCATATTTTCATGCATTATTTTCTAATGGTCTTGTTGAAACATCAAAAAATGAGATCAAATTACAGGTGCCTTTGGATGCATTTAAAACTATCTTGAAGTACATTTACACTGGTCGCATATCGTTTGTTAATTTGAATGTGGGCCAAATAACTGATCTTTTTGATTTGGCCAACATGTACCAGTTCGATTCATTGAAAGGGGCCATTTCAAAGTACTTGAATCATACTATATCAATTGAAAATTGTCATTCCATTCTGCATTTTTCGAATTTGTATTCGTTGGAAAGCCTAAGAAACGATTGTCTCAACTTTATTGACAACAATGCTATCGACTTCTTGAACCAAGAAACATTAAAGGAAATACCTCAAGATATGTTATGCGATTTATTGAAAAGAGACACATTTTACGTACCAGAAATTGACATTTTTAATGCAATGAAGATTTGGCATGAGGCCAATCCAAATGCTGATATCAAGGTAAATTGTTTTTCATATTTATTGATATTTTTTTTTTTGGTTTTCAAATTCGGCATTAATTTTTAAAACTAGGTTATTCTCTCAGAAATACGGTGGTCGTTTATAAGTATGAATGAAATGATTAAAATCGTCGTACCAAGCAAAATTTTGGATTTGACACAAATGTGGGCTCTGTTCGAAAAATACCATGATTCTAGTACACCTGCACGTTGTGCCCCTACTTCTAGTATTTCTAGTATCTTAAATCAAATGCTAAATATAAAGCTTGTGACTCATCATTGCTATTTTCCTTCTAGGTTTGAGAGAAGTAAATATTGCAACGGCTGAACATGGTGCGAAAAGAATATCTGGCGAGAGATGGAATGGGCTTTTTGAACAAAGTACTCAGAATTTTAAAAATTGCATAAGTTAATATATGTCGTGTTAATTTCGAAATGTTTTTGATTCAATTCTAGATGTAGCACATCATTCGATCAACTATCCTGGTAACGGCATAACTATACAACTTGGAAAAATTAGCCTGATAAACCACATAAAATTCTCATTGTATAGTGAAAACAATTTTTCATATCGTGTGTATACATCAATTGATGGGACTAAATTCGATAGTTTGGTAGACTATTCAACCTATTCATGTCGTTCCTGGCAGTTCCTTTACTTTCCGACACGATATGTTCAATATATTCGTTTGATTGGGATGCGTTCAACTGACGATTACTTTTATGTAAATGAATTTGAAGCAATGCAAAAAGAGAAAGTGCCGGAAATCGTCGATGGTCTTGTTAAACCAGCAATTAATGTTGCAACGACCGAAAGAGGGGCAGTTGTTCTTGAAGGAGGGGGTGCTAACAAAATGCTCAACAGTAATTTAGATGAATTTACTTGTCATGACATAAACAACGGTTCCATTATAGTACAGTTGGGTCAACCATACCATATTGGATCGTTTCGATTGTTGTTAGGAAATAAACTATCTTCCTCAAGTGGAAATTCCTTTTATATTGAAACATCATTGGACAAAAGTACGTGGGAGATGGCAGTTGATAAACGGAATGAGAGTTTGGCATCATCATGGCATCAATTTGAATTCGCTGCACGCCCAGTTATTTTCATTAAAATTACTGGAACTCAAGGAACTTTAAATGTTTGTATTTAGTTCTTTTTCACCTTTTACGTTCAACAAATCTATATTTTTTCACGTTCAAAAAATATTTTCTTTGATTATAAAATTATTTAAAAAAAATGAAAATTTGTTTGCTATGGCAAAAAATTAGTTAAAAAAACACTAAGTTTTAATGATTTCTGTTTAATCATATTTTTCAGATTTTTTCGTGCACACAATTTGAGTGTCCATCAAGTGTCCAGAAATGATTCAATGCAAATCAACTAAAATATCAAAAACCAAACGATGAAGCGTGCTTCTTTATCTTAATTATGCTGTACTATCGGGTATATCATACAAATTTAAGAATCTTTGAAACAATATATGCATTTTATGAGCAATCAATTTTTATAAACTATTTTCTATAAAACAAATGAATAAACGATTAAATCAAAGCAATTTCCAGAAATTTCTCATTAAATAATCATTTTGCATAATGAACGAAAAAATACACATAAACTTCATCATCCAAGTTTATTAAGAGGCATTTTAACTGAATCTATATTTCATAAAATGTTATTGTCACAAAATAGCTCAAAAGTAACAAAAAACTGGTCCTCCCTTTGCTGCTATTGATTTTCACTCATTAGCGTGTGTCGCCTCCATCGGTTCAGTTGATGGTCGCTGTCATCTTCGACAACCAACTTCACTCTATTTTAGTTGGTCTTGTTAAAATGTCGGAGTTAAAGTAAGTGTCTCGCTTTTTTATGCAAAATTCAATAATTTTACGCATAGAATTCGATATAAAAGATATTATTTCAAAACTTCGAGAAGTTTTTTATGTGTTAAATAATAACAACTGGTTTTGTACCCAATTTAAAGTGCTCAATTTTGCCATTTTATCGATGCAAACATTCGACACAGTCTGTGCTAATAGGTTGACAGGTTATGTTTTTTCGAACGTCAACCAAACATATTTACATTTCTATGGCATTTATTTATTCGAAAAACCCTGTTTTTAAATATTAATAGTGTATAGAATTGAATTCCGACTAATATCCATCGATCCGATTAAATGTCGGAGAAAATCTTATGCAATTACCATTGTACCGCAAAAGAAAATGACATAAATATTCATGTGTTTTCTTTTCCAAAAATTTCAGTGAGGATATATTAAACTATGAAATTGGTGATGTTGATGCAGACGACACAGACCTAACTGGAGCTGATGAAGATGAATTGTTACTTTCCGATGACGGTAATTTCCAACGCTGCAATGTAAAATATTCGATTCAATAATTTATTTTATTCATTTGTTTTTTGATTTTCAGAATCGATATCAGGTAAATTAGCACCAAATGAAAATGAAGACAATTTGTTGTCTTCGGTGCAAACACAAAGTAAAAAATCAACAAATGAATGTCTCGGCTTAGAATATGATTCGCCAACGATATGCAATAGTGATAGTGCATCGCAAAGGTGGGATGAACAAAAACCAGCTGAATCAAGTGTCGAATCGCCACAAGTGAATGAAATTGCACGTAAAAGTCCATCCATATCGCCGGGAAATGATTTGGTGTCATCAACAAATAAAGAAGATGAAGAAATTTCATTGCAACCAACACAATCACAAGATGAACAAAAAGATAGTGATCCAAGTTTTGGTCCGGACGATAAATCCGAATCGACGGTCAATGAAGAGAGTGAAGTGAGCTATAGTCAAAGTGAACAAATGGATTCGAAATCAGAAGAATCGACATTCGTACATCCAGATGCTTCCGAAGAGAATCATATTGAACAAGCCTCAGATGATTATGATCCAGATGATTCGGAAGATGTGCGGGAACGAAGAAATCCAAAAACATGCGTTGAACGTGAAATGCCACATCAATTTGATGACAATAGACCGAAGAATTTTCAACAGAATTTTCAACGAAATCGACACACACGACCTCAAATGCCTAGACAAAATCATCCGTATGGTGGTCCAGATTTTAATCCGGCATTCATGCCACAATTCAGAGGCGCCCGACGACCGATGTTACCGGTTTCACAACATGAATTTATGCGCGGACACACAATATCAATGATGCGCGGCGGACCACCAAATCATATGCAACGTATGCCACCTGGCATGCAACCACGAATGCCAGTTGGACCAGGAGGACCGCTTTTAGGACCGCCACATCAACGAATGCCACGGCCACCATTTCAAGGTGTACCACCGATGTTTGGCAACAATCCTGGTATGCCACCACAAGGTACGACCAGGGTTTATTCTCCCATAACGACAGTTTTGACTGTTAACTTTTTGTGCAAATTGAAAAGAAACACAATTGTTTTGAAGAAATAATGTAAATTTTATTAAGTGAATTAATATATTGTATTTGTTTATTGTTCAGGTATGATTCGTCCAAGAGTTCCACCAAATGCTCATCAGATGATGCCACAACGGCCACCATTTGGGCCATATTCACAACCAAATCATCATAATCCAGGAAATATGCGATTACCAATGAGTCCAGCAATGCCACCACATGCAAAACCCATAAATCCGGCTGTTGCAACACAATCAATGCCATTGCCTTCGATTTCCGGTGCGCCACGCAAAGTGCTCATTAATCCAAATTTCAAAGGGGGCGTTCAGGCTGCTCACAGTAAGTCATTCAAATGAATAAATACCAATTCACATTTTATATTGTTTACTCATAAAAAACTCTTATCGTATTGTACAGATCAATTAATGATGGATACAATGAAGAATTCACAAATATTAGAAAGTAGTCGAGAAGCGGAATTATTGCGCCAACAAGAAGCATTTATTAACCAAAATCGAATGCATATTGAAAAACGTCGCAGATCGCGGGAGCATTCACCTGATCGTGAATATCGAGAGAGGGATCGGGAGAGAGAACGAAGCTATTCGCCGCCAAGACGAAGAGAACGTGATGGACGGAAACCGTATCCATCATCATCATTCAGAGAAAATCGAAATCGACGTGCTGACAGTCGAGACAGGGAACATCCGGATATGAAGAAAAAACGTAATGAATCCGATGGCAACATCGATAAAAATGATACAAAGGTCAGTGAAAAATCTATAAATCTGAAAATAAATGTAAAAATAAACACATATTATTCCTCACCAATTAGACTGAAGAAGATGAAGAGACGCGAGCCTATCGATTAGAAATTGAAAAACAGAAGGCGTTGCGAGAAAAGATTTTGCGAGATAAAGAAATGAGGCGACGAAAGGCAGCTGAAGAATTGAAAAAAGATGAGGTAATTTCAAATTGAACTAACTCACGTTTGAGCTCTAAATGATAATTTTTGTATTTTATTCTCATTATCAGGAGAAAAAAGTGAACGACGATTCGGTACAAAAGCTCACACCAATCATAGTTACAGAAAAGAAGATCATTTCATTGAAAAAGAAGTCGGATGGGTCAAGTGAACAATTGCTAAAACCAAAAACCATTGCACTAACACGAAAAATGCAAGCATCTACGGTATCAGACAATGAATCTGGTGGTCAAGCAAAACCCGCACTGCGACCCACTAGTACAATGTCAAAGAAAATTCGCATCGATGATGATGAGGAAATCGATGAAGATGAATTGTTGGCAGATTCACCACCACCAGTCACCACCGGTGATGTTCCATTCAAAAGCCGACCAAATGCGGTTGGCAAAGTTGGTGACATTCCAACGACAATGTTTGCAAATCGTCGTATTGTTGTTCGAAACGTTGACAGCGTTACAAATATTGAAAATAATGTAACAAATAAGACGACAACTGGCCCTGGAGGCGGAGGCGGCAAGGGAATATTCGATCGACTGGAAAAGAAGGTAATTGGCGTAAATGAATCGGCAAAGCGAAAAATTCAACGGATCGTTATCAATAATACTGATTAGTGTCATTCATTTTGTTTCGCTTCGAGGCTTCACCCATTGGTTTGTTGTTTCAATTCAACAATTAGTAGACATTTAAGTAACATACACAAACACACTCACACACAAACACATTTTTATTTCTTGAAGAGATTTTGAATTCATCTCTATTAAGCGCACTATAGCCATGAGCAATGAATAAATTAAAACAAATCGACAACAAAATCCTCTTTTCACATAAATTTTAAGCAAAAATAAGTGATTTATCATTTAAATACTGTTGTTGTGCTTTTTTTAAGGAAAAATTTCATTTGTTTTCATTTCCATCACAAAAGTCAAAATCCTTTTGGTGGGAAAAATCATAAATTATTTCTTTTAAATAGCAAATTTATATTACATTGGTCATATGGTGTCACGTTTTTTTTTAGAAATTTCCTCAGTATTTCATTTTCTTTTTCATTTTGGGAAATTAAAAAATGTCCCGTCCTCACATCAATATATATATATATATACATTTTAGTTACATTTTAAGTTGTCCACGTAAAGTTTCACATTTTATATTCTCAAATGTTTACATTTCGTTTGCATTAACATCATAAATATTTTTTTTTTGTATCGGCCTTTTATTTTCTCTTCTGTTCAGATTGGTTTACTTCCGAACTAATCTCGATGTCGATATGAGATGGGCGAGAAAATGATATTCCATATAGCAAAATCAGAATTCGCCTTCATTTTTTTTGAAAATGAACTATAAATTCTATTTATGCAATAACAAATGAAGGACATTTAATAACTTAATACCACTAGAAAATATGTAATGATGTCGATTTCTAAAACAAAACACATAGTTCATAGTCTCTTTGACCGTTAGTTTAATAACCATTCTAAAGAAAACAATTGAACTCAAATTAATGTGAGCTCAATATTCAGCCGATAATGTTTTAAATTAACTACTAATGTACCAAATGGAATGATTAGATTTTAGAAAAAACAAACAAACATATAAATGCTGTTGAAGTGATAAACAAAACTGGAGCACATTCAATGCATGTCATTGCATTAATTCAACGAATTAATTACAAAAAATAAAACAAGATTAGCCGAACGCAATGGAATGAACTATAGAATGTTCCCCAAACACATTTTGAAATTAAGAAATTTTATACAAATTATCAAATTATTGTAAAAAAATACAAACAAACAAAGAGATAGAGAGAAAGCAAAAAAAGAGCCGAATCGCGAATTGTATCACTGTACGAGTCATCAAATTAATACAAACTACGATTTTGGCCATTTATTTATTAACAGATCTTACATTCATAAAAAGAAATCAAATTTATGCGATATTTTTTATTAAATTAATTTCCAAATAAGACAGGAACATAATTTGAAAAGAAATTGTTCTTTGCAAAATTCTTTGTGCATATTTCGATTGATGCTATTGAAAATTGGAAAATAACTGCCTACTATATTTGAATTAATATAAAATTATGTCGATGACTCAATAAGAAATGGAGCAAAATAATTCAACATCCAACTCAAAATGACTTCAATGGTCATTTAAATTAATATTGTTTAGATATGTATCTTAATTTCTTTTCTGAAAATATTTGTATATACGCTAGTACTTTGACAATGAGTGGTTTTTCAAATAATCAAAAAAGGAAACACACGTTTAATTTTATTTGATCCCCGTAATCAATAAATATACATCTTCAAAATGATGCAAGATATCCATTTTGTCTTATTATTTTTAACCATTAATTTCATTTGGACGTGAAAATGTTCGATGTCGTGGCAATCACTGGGCTAACGCCCAGAAAAATCAATTCGAAAGGTAAGATATATTCAGCTCTTTAAACATCTATTGTTTAAAAAAATGTGTCACTTATTTAATTGAAAGCAAACAATTTATTTCTGATGTGGCATATGGTCATTTTTGGTCTAGTTCATTTACACTCTATTTATATTGTATTTTAATCTCAAGTTTTTGAGAAATTTGGTCTAGTTTAGAAATCCAAAAAAATAATACTTTCAACTCCAATTGATTGTTCAAAAAATAAATAAATTCAAAACACACACAAAATCAATTGTTTTTCAGTTTTTATCAACGTCATTTCAAATATTAAACTCATTTTAAAAGTACTCAACATTGTTCTATGTAAACAACTAGCGACCTCCATCGATATTCTAATAGAATGTTTTTTTTTTTTAAGAACAATAAGGTAGCAAATTATCGGAATGAATTTAAATTACAATTGATTTCAAATAACCCTCAACCGAATGAAAAAATCTGAAAGTAAATGATGAAAAGTAGCTGATTGCATAAAATCTGAAATGCAATTAGCAAAAGTAAGGCACGGGAAAATTCTGGTTATTTCTACACGTCAATGTAGGGTTTTCCGAAAAAGGAGATAACTTAAATGGTCATTATCAGTAAACAAAGTCAACTGCATGAATATACTTTCACATTTCATCAACTAATCATCTGAATCTATTTTCCAAGAAATCAACAAATTTTTCTGAATCATTAAAAAAAAAATCAAAACATACTAATATAAATATATTGTTTATCTGTCACGATAATTCAAAGCACACGTCATGTATATGTAATTTAATTTCGTCCGCTAGGTGTTGCATCATTTTGAAATCGTACACAAATGTGTGTACGTAGTTCTTCTCGCTCATTCAACCTATGGTGTACTCTTTCTCGCACATTCTAGATGTCAATTCATCGTCGTTTCTCTTTGAACGTGGTCCAATCGCCATACAACAAGAGACACACAATTTGAACCAATCAGAACGAACCACGCCAAACTGTCAGCAAACATATATACGCGCTGCAGCGATACTGAACTCAGTTATAACTGAATACACGGAACATTAAAGACGAACTGAACCATTTCTGAATTACTCGTTGAACAGTCAAGAAGGAAGAAAAAGACGAATTGGTTGAAAAAAACTTTCGAGAATTCAATTATCAACTATACATTTAGTGAATATTAAGTTAATTTATATCAAATAGAATAACAAATTGTAAGTAATCATTTAATATTTGCTCATAAAATTGTGATTTTATGTTGGAAAAAACGACAAAAAAAGAAAAAAATCATCGATTTAGTGCCGGTGCATAAAATTAAAGTGACTTGAGAAAAAGAAATCATTTTTTGATGAGATCACAATAAACCGAAAATGGTTTTGAGTTTTTTCATAGATATTTGTGAAATACATTTTAAAAGAAATGAAAAAAATGATCCCTTTGAGACGGGTGATTATGTTCAGATTTTTCTAGAACGACTCAAATGAGAAGAAGAAGAGTCATTCATTTTGCTGACGTATTTATTTCCTCATGACAAACATTTCGATTTGAATTTAGTCCAAGAATTTGCCAATAGCAATTTCATTAATGATTTTACGGAGCAATTTTCATTTACGATTTCCAAAAAAAATTCTCCAGTTATTTGCTGGAATATTCGTGTCACTTGTAAACGTTTAAACCCACCAGGTGTTACATTTTTTTAACTCGATTCAATTAAATTTTCATGCTAGAACTTACATTCTATTGTTGAAAAAGTCACAGCTCCGTGAATAAAACATAAAATCTTCGGTAAATTTGTGCCTGAAAATTCAATCAGCTCAACATTTCTTTTTCTCTCTTCCTCTCTTTCACGCTGTCTTCCTTTGCGTATTCAGACATATAGCTTATGTGGCATACGGTAAAGTGTTTTGTTATTGTAGGAATTTTGTAGAAACATTTGTATTTGTATGCATATGAAATCGTAGTAGACCGATTATCATGTTCTCACTCTCTGTGTCGTGATGTCAGTTTCACACAGACACGTACACTGTTCTCAACGCTCCGTTTGTGTAGTGCCACGCACACTTGATACAATAACGAGAGAATGTTGAGAGAATATATGAGAGAGAGACAGTACAAATACGGAAGAAAACGCCGACAGAATCGTGTTTAGTCCATTCATACGTGTTCGCCAAAACGAAATTTGTCAATGTAATCGTGTGTAATTGAGCATCGCACACATTATTACACATCAACGGGTAAACTGTAAAACAAACTTAAAATAGGTCACGATAACGGTAGTTCCCGTTTGGAACAAGATGAATTTCGAATGTGAGCCCATCATTCATCGACATGAATCATTAAATCAAATAGCGTGCTGTATATTAATCGATATGCCGCATGAATTTCAATATCACTAATTTTTATCGACGTGCACTGAATGGATAATAAATTTCGGATCGAAAAAGTCTTTTTCCTTCATTAATTTTGAATTGTTTTTTTTTTCTTCTTTACTCTAGAAATTAATTATGAAGCTATTGTTAGCATTTATCGGGCTTGTGGCCATTGCCATAAGTTCTTTGGCTGAACAAGCTAAAGAAAAGGATGATATTGGTGTAGTAATTGGTATCGATTTAGGAACAACATACTCATGGTGAGTTATTAACAAATGTGGTTTATTTTCATTCATTCATTTGATCGTCCGAAACTAGGCCTATACAATCAACTCATCGATTGTATAGTCTTGCATCCGGACAAGAGAAAGTTTTCCATTGAAAATGGTTCTTCGCGGTTTTTTTTATGCTAAATTCAAGTTGATGCATTTTTAAAACTTTTGAAGAACTACATCATTTCATTCATGCAATAAATTCATCGAGAATTGTACCAAACAAATAGAAAAGAAATCTAATGCGTATATAATTCCATTTTATCCAATACAGTGTTGGTGTTTACAAAAATGGACGTGTTGAAATTATTGCCAACGACCAAGGTAACCGTATCACACCATCATATGTTGCATTCACAGCTGAAGGTGAACGTTTAATTGGTGATGCGGCCAAGAATCAATTGACTACAAATCCAGAGAACACCATTTTCGATGCAAAACGTTTAATTGGTCGTGAATATGGTGATCCAACTGTGCAAGCCGATGCTAAATTGTTCCCATTCAAAATCGTTGAGAAGAGCACTAAACCATATGTCCAAGTGAAAACTAGCCAAGGTGACAAGACCTTTGCTCCAGAAGAAATTTCCGCTATGGTTTTGACGAAAATGAAGGAAACCGCCGAAGCTTATCTCGGTAAAAAGGTTACACACGCTGTTGTCACTGTACCAGCCTATTTCAATGATGCCCAACGTCAAGCAACCAAAGATGCTGGTTCAATTGCCGGTTTGAATGTTATGCGTATTATCAACGAACCAACAGCCGCTGCCATTGCTTACGGTTTGGATAAAAAAGACGGTGAAAAGAATGTGTTGGTATTCGATTTGGGTGGTGGTACTTTCGATGTATCACTTTTGACAATTGACAATGGTGTATTTGAGGTCGTTGCAACCAATGGTGACACACATTTGGGTGGTGAAGATTTCGATCAACGTGTTATGGATCATTTCATTAAATTGTACAAAAAGAAGAAGGGCAAGGATATTCGTAAAGACAATCGTGCCGTTCAAAAATTGCGTCGTGAAGTTGAAAAGGCCAAGCGTGCATTGTCATCAAATCATCAAGTTCGAATCGAAATTGAATCATTCTTCGAAGGTGAAGACTTCTCTGAAACATTGACACGTGCCAAATTCGAAGAATTGAACATGGACTTGTTCCGTTCCACATTGAAACCAGTGCAAAAGGTCTTGGAAGATGCAGACATGAACAAAAAAGATGTTGATGAAATCGTTTTGGTCGGTGGTTCAACACGTATTCCAAAAGTACAACAATTGGTGAAAGAATTCTTCGGCGGCAAAGAACCATCACGCGGTATCAATCCAGATGAAGCTGGTATGTATAATTACAATATCTAATTCGAATTTCAATTGATTTCAATCCAAAGAATAAACTAAACGATTTCCTTTTCTATTGTTTACAGTTGCTTACGGTGCTGCTGTTCAAGCTGGTGTATTGTCAGGCGAACAAGATACTGATGCCATCGTTTTGCTCGATGTCAATCCATTGACCATGGGTATTGAAACTGTTGGAGGTGTCATGACCAAATTGATTCCACGTAATACAGTTATTCCAACCAAGAAATCGCAAATCTTCTCAACTGCCAGCGATAACCAACACACTGTCACCATTCAAGTGTACGAGGGTGAACGTCCAATGACTAAAGACAATCATTTGTTGGGTAAATTCGATTTGACCGGTATTCCACCATCACCACGTGGTGTTCCACAAATTGAAGTTTCATTCGAAATTGATGCAAACGGTATTCTCTTGGTATCGGCTGAAGACAAAGGCACCGGCAACCGCGAAAAGATTGTCATCACAAATGATCAAAATCGTTTGACACCAGAAGATATTGACCGTATGATCAGAGATGCTGAGAAATTCTCAGACGAAGACAAAAAACTAAAAGAACGTGTCGAAGCTCGCAACGAATTGGAAAGCTATGCATACAGTCTTAAGAATCAAATTGGTGACAAAGATAAATTGGGCGCTAAATTGTCTGATGAAGACAAAACAACAGTCGAAACAGCCGTTGATGGTGCCATCAAATGGCTCGAAGAGAATCCAGAAGCCGAATCTGAAGAATATAAGAAACAAAAGAAATCGGTCGAAGATGTCGTACAACCAATTATCGCCAAATTATACCAAGGACAACCAGGCGGTGCACCACCAACTGGCGGCGAAGACGATCTCAAAGACGAATTGTAAACACGCGATAGACAGAGAGAGCTTTTTTCATTGTCATAATTCGTTCACATCAACCGTAGTTAACATCCATTGTGTTTTTCTTCTTTTTTTTCTACGTGAAATTCTTTAATTTATTTATTTCAAACCGCGCAAATTTTCCAGAGAAAAAAAAACCAAACAAAACATTTCTTTGTCCAGTAGAGCGTAGTTTTGTGTGAGAAAAAAAGAGGAAATCCGATTTAAAATCGAAAAACCAGCTAAAATTATTAAGTATTTTTTTTCATATATTGTAAATTCACCATTGTACTAAAAATCTTCGTGGCGTTTTCCACCTCCGTCTATTTTCATGCGATCGGAAAATAGTTTGTAGATTATGTTTGTTGTGATGAATCTTTTTTTCTCTCTATCCAAAGTGAATTGCAGTGCAATTCGTATCAATTAACATAAAACAATTTTGTTTTGAGTGAGCGCGCACGCAGGAGCATTTATTTCATTCAAAAAGGAAAAAAGTCCGTCAAACCATCAGATAAAAAAGAAAATATTGTGAAATTAAATAAGAATAATGAAGAAAACGATGTAATTTTTATGTAACTAGAGATTGGTTTAAATTAAACTTCGAAGAGGATTTAAATAAAAAAAAAATAACAAACAAACTGTAAAATACTACCTCTGTACTGATTCTTCGATTCTTTTATTTTATTTTCATTTCCTTTTGTTTACGTTTCTTTTCAAAAGCCGCTCACATTTGTACAACATAGCATAATTTGTTTTTTTCGTCAATATTCAGACTGATGTTTCTGTGAGTTTTGTTCGTAAGTGCAGATTAAATAGCTGGCACCATTATAAGAAAAATGCACTTCTAATACACGTACGCCCACTTTTCTGTCATAGAAACTTAAATTTAAAAATTTTTTGAAGAAAAATGAAAAACAAAACACATACACACATGTTAATGTTTTTGTATTAATAATTTTTGATTTCATTCGAAATTTAAAACATAAATTACATACTTAATTAAGAATTAATACAATTAGCAAAATTTCTAGAAAAAAGGAATTAAGAAAATAAAATCGAAACACATTTTGTAACAATAAAGATAACAAAATGAAAATACAACAAAACAATATGTTGAATTTGTTTTTCTTTTAGTTTGATAAATAGAATTTTGTAATCACAATCTTTGGGTTCCTGTTTTATTACACAAATATCTGTAAGGCGAATTTTACGTCGCGCTTGTATTCAAGTACATAAAAACATAGAAATTCTAAACTGTACAAACATATTTTGTGATTATTACATGTACTGATAAATATTTTGTTCGAACTACTATGTTTGATACACTGTTTTAGAATGAACAATTCTGTGGTGAAATACGATAATAGATAATATATTAAATATATAAATAATTGGATATCCTCATTGACTAAAATTCAGTTTGATTACAGAATTTTTCAGAAACAATCGCTCATTTATTTGATACCTCAAAAAGATACTACTCCGAGCAATTGTATGAAATACCAGAGTATCGCTCAGCGCTGCTGCCATCCACAGCATATTAAAATATCTTGCTGAGAATGCGTCGTCCGTCGCATGCGAATGTACGTAGCAGTTTATACATCACAGCGATCAAGAATGCATGCATTGTTCTCTTCACGATTATGTGACTCAAAACATTCAAACGATCGTATAGAGAACAATGCATGTATTGTTGTTCGCGGTGATGTATAAACTGCTACATACATTCGCATGCGATGGACGACGCATTCTCAGCAAGATATTTTAATATGCTGTGGATGGCAGCAGCGCTGGGCAATACACTGTGAAATACAGAAGAATTCTTTTTGAATGTGTATTGAGACCCTGCGTAGAATATTATCAAAGTTGGCCGCGGTATCACGATTCGGATTTCTTATTTTATTACAATAAAGACGATATTCATTTCATGCTTATTTCAACTTGTCAACAAAAAACTTTTTTCCTCATTGCTGCGTTTGACGCCGATTGTTTCAGAAAAAAATTGTCTGTATTGAACTATAAAAATGTATAAAATAAAAATAAGTTATCTTCTTTTTCCATGGAGATGCATTGATGCAATCAATATGGTTCAATTCTCATAATATCACGATTCTTTGGAGAAAAAACGCCTTTGAATCAGTTAAATTTCATGTTGTCCATTGGGTTATACAACTTCAGGAAAATATCGCCGTCAATCAATTTGAATCAAATTATTTGAAAAATATACGCCAAACGATTGTATTTTCATCATTTGCAAATTAATTATTATGATTGTTGGTATTGTCACTTTCCGGGAAATAATGGGATTATAACACATTCATTACAATGGTTAGCCAGATGTTGATGACAGCTCACCATTTTATTTATCTATTTAAAATATTTTCTTTCATTTGTTAAATCCTGACAGTAATTTTGTTTAATTTCACATGCACTTCCAAAGGAAAATACTTTCATTGTTTATTTTTTTAAACTTTAGATCCGAACTCGTTGCGACTGATGGTGGTAGTGCCGGAAAATCGTCCTGATAAAGTACGAGCACTATTATTAAATTTATAGACTTTATAATTACCTTCACTGCGAGCTTGATGCAATGCCAAATTATCGTCATGAAAGCGTAACGAACACCGAATTATCAGGTTCTATTCGAATTTCCAAATAATAAATGACTTTTTTATGATCCAAATATTAATTTAAAGTAATCACCGACTGAATCGATTGGAGGCTTACCATAAAACTTATTCGGAATTTTTTATTCATATAACAGTACAGAATCGGATTAATGCTGGAGTTTGATGATCCTAACCTGCGAATAAAAAGTAAGCAATGTGTTTGTAATTAGTAACGATTTCATTTAGCTCTTTTTTCCTTACCATTGAGCAATCGGCACCAACACATAAATAATATCTCTGACTGTAAATGTTTGAAAAATCACCACATTAGATCAAGTTAGTTCATATTCATGCTCACAAAAATAAGGAAAAAAAATATATTAGGCTACACCATTGTAGAACTGATTTCACATGAAGTGTGCTCTTCAGTGTGGAAAAACTAGCCCTAAAAATGAACAAATTTCGAATTTTATACAACAAAAGTACAGCCTAGTTTTTTTCTTCAATTTTTATGTGACAAAATGTGTGCTCGCATTTCACCTTGACCTTGTTCATCATACAAAACTTCATCCCAGAATTTAACGACACAGAAAATGATATAAAGTGGCAGCCATGACAATGCAAATGTAATGATGACTACAAAAACCATTTTAGTGACTTTTAGTCTTGAGCGGTTGATTGAATCCCGTGTACTTTGATATCCCAAATATTCACCCGGTATGGATCGGTATACAACGTTCTTCCAAATTATGACATAACAAAAGGTAATTACGCTCAATGGCGCTAAATAGCAGAGTATCAAATTGGCCAACACAAAATAGACATTTTCCGATATAGTTGATGGCCAAAGCTCGATACAAACCTATTTACAATACATAAAATGGTGAGAGAAATAAATAGATGCTTTTATTTACTTCTAATTAAAATGTTACGACTTACTTTTCGACTGCTGCCTAATTCGATTGGTTCTAATTTGAAGACATACAGCCACGGCAAATTTACCGAACATGCTAAAATCCAAATTATTGTGACAGTTACTCTATAATGTCTGCGTGTATGTGATGATGAGTGAAGCGAAATAGAAAAAAAGTTTTTTCCTCATCATTCCGTAAAAAATATAATTATATTAATGTTCAGCAAAAAAAAAATTTGGTAACCTACTTTGATGAAATTGCCAAATATGGATGCGATATAGCGATACAACGTTCTATGGAAATGGCCATCAATGTATTCACGGATGCCGATACAGAAACTCCTTGCAGGTACGAAACCGTTTTGCATATGAAAGATCCCAAAGTCCATTCTAATGATATTAAATCAAAATTAAATAAAAATGTTATCACAAACATTATTATCAGTGCGGTTGAATTATAAACTATTATCATCAATAGATTTTAATGATGTCTCTTTTCAGCCGAACCAGAGAAAATTTATTCAGGATTACGGTTTGATGCTTATAAGATTCTACATTTCCCGCATTTAATGGATTCGCAATAAAATAGCAACGACAAGGGACCGACTTACGAAATGAGTAAAATTGGGACTATATAAATAACATCTGACAAATGGAAGACGCATAATACTAGTATGTGCAAATAAAGAGAATCAATTTGATTAATTCAAATACGGATATTGGTTGCATGTTTGCATGTTTTTACATGCTTGACTACATAAACATATTCATCATACGTTTTATTGAGAGAAAATTGATTAAATAAAGACCTTGAGCACGGAGAAATTGACAAAACTATTTACGTAATATACCGTAAAAAAACCTAGACAATTCGAAATTGGCGTAGAAACATTCTGTTCAACTCTTAAAACGTACTACTATGATTATGCGGCAGGAGTTGGCTAATAAATATCAACAGCAAACGGGCCATATGTTGTAAACAGAAAATCGTTAGGTCTTAGCACTATATTTACAAAGAATAAATGAATGTAAAATGAACTCAGAAAGGGAAATTAGACACTTTCGAAACATTATGAACATTGTGAATAGTAAATAGCATCCTCTTTATAACAAAGTTATTTCAATCAGCTATTATTTTTGTCACTATACCAATTCAAACATAAAAATGTTCGTAAAAAAATTGATGATTTATTTACAAAATTGAATTGAATACCTTGATATCTTCATTTTAACCACTTTTCAAATATCCTCGAAAGTATGGACACTCGCCCAAATGTCGGACTATTTGTTTGAATTTTCAACTTCAATTTGATATTTAACATTTTTGGTTTCATGAAAAAATATCACTTTATACACAATTCGATACAGAATTTAATTGTGCTTCATTTCACGTTTCTCAAAAGATAGTAATTTCCAAAAATGTATTATTTTTTTCCATTCTTTCGTCATAACATCGAAAATTCCAAATGTCGGATATTCGTCGTCCA